TCCCCGTCAGGCTGTCCCCCATCTCCATCCTCTACTACGATAACAACGACAACGTGGTGCTGAGGCACTATGAGGACATGGTGGTGGATGAGTGTGGTTGCAGATAGCGGAGCGGCTGGGGGAGCTGAAGTGTTGAATGATGGATGGAATAAATCCCAAGTGTGTTAAATCCCCTCTGTGCTGGTGTTCGGGGAGTTTCCCGTGGGGTGTTGGAGCTCGCCCCTGGGCTGCCCTTCTCTGCGTGCAGCTGGGGAGGAGGTTTGGCATGAGGGGCTCGTTACCCGAGTTGTGATTTAGCAATAGTTGGGGGCTCAGCCCTCCAGGCAGCTGTCCATTATGGGATTATGATCAAGTTTGATGCTGGTTGTCTATTCCGTTCTCCACGGACGATGGTGGCACCAGGCTGTGAATCCCAGGACCCCTCTCGTGCTTGGCTGAGCTGCTGCTGCTGCCAGGGAGGCACCTGTGTGGGAGAGCAGCAGCAGGGCTTGTGGTTTTTTGGCCAAATGCTGCAGCTTTAGAAGCGGCTTTTTTTTTTTTGCTGAAATGATGCTGGTGGTTCCCTGCTGCCTGGGTGCAGGGTGGCTGTGCCGGGAGGAGGTGATGTTGCGGCTCTGGTCCCGCGGCAGGAAGAGGTATGGTGTCACGGCAAGGGCTGCATCGCTGCAGCTCTGTGTGACTGAGTCCCTTCCCAGAGCGGAGGCTGAGCCTGGAGGAGTGCAGGTTTCTCTCTCGCTGAGCTATTTTTATTGCGTGGTTGGCAAGGGGGGGGCCTCGGGGTGTACGTGGCTCAGAGCTGCTGGGTGGCCAAATGCAGCCCCCTGGGAGCCACGGTCCGAGGGGCAGGCTGCTGCGTGGCTGAGGAAAGCAAGGGTAAAGCAGGGGGATGTGGTAGGCATGGGGTGGTGCAGTGGAGTTGGTGGCATCTTGTTCCCTCCCAGCCTGCTCTGAGTCAGTGGTTAATTTACCTCATTTGCAAATTGATGAGACCAGGGTGGTGTCTGTGTTTTCCCCCCTGCCCCCAAGCTCACTGGCGGCTGCAGTACCAGCCTGAACCCCGGCTGGAGCCAGATGGCAGCCGAGCATCGGGCAACAGCAGCTCCACACAGCGCAGCGGTGTCAAAGCCCCCATACGTCAAGCACCGCGTGTGCATTTTAGGGTTGTTTTTTTGGTTTTGTTGGGTTTTTGCTGTTGGCTGTGGTACCCAGCCCGTTGCAGTAGCGTGGCCGTGCTCTTACCCAGTCTAACACCACTGCCGTGAGTGAGCGATGCCGCCTCGGCTGAGCAACGGTGATCACTGATGGAGGAGTCACCACTTTTCTTCTACGGGCTGTGAAATCTTACAGCAGCCGGAGGTTGCTCAGCCATCCCCCAACACACCTGCAGCTCTGACCTGGGCTGGCTTTGGCACCAGCCCTTCCAGGTGAGGCTTTCCTGACACACCTGCAGCTTGGGGTTTTTTTGGGGGGCAAGGGGGGGACAGAAAAGGAATCCGAGTTAGACTTGAATCTTTTGTCTTTTTTTAACTGTGAACCTGACATCATCACATAGATTATTTTTTTGTTGTTTTGTACTGATGTTGTATTGTCTTCAAGGTCTGATGACGTATTACCAAGCTAAGCTGGGCCTTCTCCCTCCAGGGAAGCACTGAAAGTTTAACCACTGTTGGGGTGGCAGAGGAAATGTCTTACTGTCCCCTGTGACGGGGTTTTTGCTAACATCCCCAAAACACGTAGCTGAAGACCAAGACTGGAGTAGTTCGAGTACCTTAGCTGTGTAGCACACTCATCTTTCCACGTCCAAACGTGTTTCCTGACAGCACCATGGCCTAGCAGGGAGCTCCAGGGCAGTCAGCTCTGCTTTACTCCAGCAGATCAACAAGAGCTATGCTGAAACTCATTTCAAGCACTTAACTGTTTTAAGGGCTTAGAGTAGGACTTAACTAAAGCAAGCAGGAGCCATTCCTTTCAAGTTTCAGCTGGGCAGGATTAAGAAAACCTTTAAGTATTAGGCAGTTTTTGTACCTGTGCTGTGGCAGACTAAGGGGCTGAAGGGCTCAGCTCATTTAACATGCAGAGATACAGTGGATTCCTTACCTGGTTCTCTAAGATGACGGAGGGCAGCTGTCTGCCTCCCTCCCCCTGTAAGGGGGTGAGTGACAGCAGTGACCAGACACAGCCCTGGAGTAGCTGGAATGAGCTTACACAGAGGGCAGTGCCAAGACCAGGCCTAAACCCTGAAGCTGCTGTCCTGCAGCCAGGGCAGTCAGGCCAAGCTTTGCTGAGCAACCACAGGTAAAAGCCATTTTCATGTTTACTGCAGCACAGGGGAAGCAGGAGGGAGGAGATCTTCCAGGCTGGACCGGTCACTTCTAGACCCGGCCTTTCCTAACTCCTGGAGCTCCCCCCCTGCACCCCACGCACAGACCACCGCCCCAGGGCTCACACCGGTCCCCTCTGAGCCAGAGGGATGAGGGGTAGGGCATTTAACCGAGTTTTCACAGTTCATTTGCTTACCCATGTACGCTATGCACCCATCACACTTTTGTACTAGTCTGTGTTTAAAAAAAAAGTAATAAACTTGAAGTTTATACAATCAGACTAAGTTTTAATGAATGTTGCATGGTTTCATCACTGAAAGTTAGGGGCCACCTTGAATGCAAGAGCTGTTTATTAATATTTTACTGATGACAAACAGGTTTAAAACAAACTGAGACAAAATCAAAAAAGAGTTAACACCGTGCTAGCACTGATGTCTGGATTTATAAAACTCAGAGTAACTGCTACAAAGGAAAAAACCAGCATAAAGCAGAGGCAAGCATTCCCATTAGTGAAATAAAGGGGGTGAGGGGAGAGGAAGGGGTTACATTACTCAATGGATTGCATTGCACAGAGGGTTACAGCTTAAACCTATTGGAAAAGTCTATGCAACTACGCAGCCTACAGAAGGAAAAAAATTAAAAAGCCCTTCGGCAATGTTAATAAATAAAACAGTCCATCTTACAAGGAAGGAAGGTGGCCTGTGTCTCCATTCTTTCACATTTTAGAAGTCTAAACTCTGGAGGCTTTTTATGAGAAAAGAATGGTTTTCATTTCTGGAAAGTTTCTTTTGCAGCTCTTGAACTGCGTTCGCTGCAGAACTGAACAAAAATTTTGAACACCTGTTCCATGTTTATGTGCACGCTACTCACAGTTTGTGGGTGTGCTACACCAGGTCTGCACTGGGGGAGAGACACTCCTGAAAAACTACAGCAAATACAGGTTATGAAAGCGGGTCAACAATCTACAGAAAGGACAGTAATGAAAGGGCTTCCCCCCCAGTTACAAAAAGTGGGGTTTACGTCATTTAAGTACATTCATATGAGAGGTATTTTGAGTTCCCCCAAAAAAAAGACTAGAAACACTTGGAGCCCTTTGAGTATAAAGCTAACTTAATTCAAACTTTAAAAACACCTAGGTTAGTGAATCACACTCTACTGTTCTTTGCCAATTAGGAGGTAGAGGTTAGTCTAATTTAGGGATCTGATAAAAATGGGTCTGTAGGAATTTTAAGTTCTCTGCGCTGTTTCTAAAAAGGTTTAGACAGAAATAAAATGCTCCCAGTGTTCCCATATGACTTATTTAAGACATGGGTACAACTTAGAAATTGGATGGCTTCTCTTATGTGCTGTTCTCAAGTTTTGACTTCCAGCTATTTCTCAAGCCAGCATTGATGGCACAGCCGTGTCCACTACCTGAAAAATAGGCTCCGGGTTTGGTTTTCAACACCTGAATCTTTCAGCTATCTGCATTAATCACCGAAGAAGCCACACAAAAGCCTAACCCATTATCTCTTAATTATACCCAGCTATCAGAGGCCACCTTCCAACAACTGCCTGCTTTGTCCATTTTTCCAACCTGCTTCAGTAACATTGTAGAGTCTTTACTTCAGAACCAATATAATCCCCAGTTTCCACTACTTCTTCCCCAGATCTGAGGGAGCGAGTAAAGCAGGCCTGTTTTAGCATCTTTTCCTCCAGGGCCGAAGGGCACAGGAACCCATCCCCTTTCAAGCGCAAAGTTCATCTTACAGAAAGGCTTGTTTTTCACAGAGTAGAGTCCAGACAGTAGCCAATTAAAGCATACAGAAAACACTTTGAAACCCTCCTCCTGCTCGAGCGCGCAGGCTCCTTTCACTCTAACTGCTATCCAATGTAGGAAGAAGAGGCTGATTGCTGCAACTTTAAATCACACTGAAAGTTCTCAAGGTTGGTGCTCTAATTTAGTTTTGTTTCAAACTTTTTGTAAGCTTCTCAGAACAAGGATCTCCCAGGTCCACCACTAAGAATTCAGAGACAAACTTCTAAAAATTCAGTGCTCCTTTGAAAGAATCTCTTTAAAACCACCTCATCACGAAAGACCCGTTCAGAATGTGGGCGACACGATGACACTAGGATTTCAGAGCCAGTGTTGGACAACAAAACCTGCATCTCAGAGTTGAGCATCAGCTATGTTCCGCTGGATTTCTGCTTGGCTTGCTGTCACTTAGTCAGGAACTCCCTCTCTCTCGCTCTCTCAGATACTCTGCTTCTAAAATGTAAACAGTTACTGCTAAAATATAGTACCCCTTTAAAACGAGAACAACTCTGAGATGAGGGTTTTCCTCTCCTCATCTGCTCTGAAAAGTAATGCCCTGCTCGCAAAGAGAAGTATGGAATGAAGTGAAACCTGCTTAAGGCCCTTCTCTCGAGCTTGTTGGACTGGGGGAGCAGGGACTCAGCTGACCACTCATTTCAGGGTGAGTTGCCTTCCCCGTGAGGCGCCAGCCAGTCCTTCAGTGCTCTCTCTCCTCTCCGGTCAGTCTCCTTGTCTCAGTGAGCTAGCAGTGGGCTCTCTCGCGCGCGCTCCTTTCTCTCTCTCTCCTCTCCGTTGGTTGGTTTCTTTCTCCTGTTGCTCTCACACAGTGGTGCTTCAGTTTTAGCAGTGGAAAACAGGTATCCATTTTATTTTATTTTTTTTATTACCCAGAATAAAATGCTGATGAACTAAGCTCCACACAAGCTTAGCTCTTCTTCCTCAACCTGAAAACAAGAAAGCAAAACAACAGGTGTATTAGGGATGTCACTCTTAAGACAAACACCGTGTTCATGAACTGAAATTGGGGAGTAAGAAGCAGAGGAGTGAACCTCAAGTGCCTTACACTCTAATACTGTGACAGTCCCGTCACTCCACCATGTTGATATGCACGTTCACCCTGGTAAGTAGAGTCCTGTGACAGCGCCACGTCAATCTGAGATTTAAACTCATCACCAAGGTAACTGTCCTGAAAACAAAAGTGTGTGTGTGTTAAGCCTCTAACTCATTATCAAGCTCCAGTGCTCCCTCACAAGCAGAATACCTGGCAGCCAAGGTTAATGACAAAGTCTGAGAGGTTTTGTTTTGTTGGGGATTTTTTTTGTTTGGTTGTTTTTATGTATTTGGGTTTGTGGGTTTTTTTAAACTCTATTCTTTTTGCTGCAGAATTTCCACAAATACCAAGGTTTTTGCGATAGCTGGCTGTTGAACAGGCAAGCAGTTCAACGTTAAGGCTCAAGTTGAAGTCTATGCATGCAGCATTTCACTTTTATACCCGAGTGTACTTAAGAGAGTCCACCAAGTGGAGGAGCACAAAATGCTGTGGCTGAGTCATTGAAAACAGTTTTAGTTTCCATTTTCCTCAACACTAACAAACAAGGATGTGCATGCACACAGATCACCGAGACAAAACCCATGAAAGAGAGCAGACTGTACATCAAATTCTGCTTACCTGTGATAATTCTGGTTGGGAGAGCCCAGGCTGACTCATCTGTGATGGCTGACTCATGGAGATATACCCCTGAGTCAGTGGACCCTGGGAGAAAGGCTGGGACACCACATCTTGGCTCGCTTGACTATTTGGAAGGTTTGACTGACTAGTTCCAGGAATCCCAAAACGATTTTTCTGGCGCCCACCACGACCAGTCTTTCCTTTTGGTGCCCCACGTCCTGGAAAAGCATATATCCCAACCAACAGTGAGAAGCCTTACACCCGCAAACACATGAGAATTAAGTCTTTCTATAAAAATTTGATCACTCTCAAGAGGCAACATTTCATGGGTACTCAACGCAGCAGGTGCAGAGAAATCAAAAGGCAGAACCACCAGCATAGATGTGCCAAAGGGGCACTTGCTGGAGGCTGCACTGCTGCTGTGTTTGTACTCCATGCAACCAAGATTTATTACTGAAGCACATCATCTACACTGCTGCAAGAGTAGCAAAAACCATTCTCTGACTTCAGACCTAAAATGTGACTTTTGTACCATTTCACCCTTGCCCCCGTACCTGCGGCTGGTCCGTTAGCCTGGCCAAAGTATCCCGGCGGTGGCATCGGTGGCATCACAAGGTTGAAAGGGATAGGAATGTTCATAGCAGTGACATGGCTGGGGCCAGCACTGATCATCCCGATCTGGTCGTGGGTTTGGAAGTACATGTTGGATGGGCGCCCTGGGGAAGGAAGGAAAAGCCACAGTGATTTCAGGCATATTTAAAAATCAATTAGTATTCCTGCTTTTAACAGTAATGGGAGGACTTGTGAGCTGGATCAGTCAGAACCAGAAAGGACAAGGCTACCACTGTCAAGAACCACCAATATTTCTAGTTGACTGTTTATTCCATACTTGAAAAAGTCAGAGGCTCATCTAACGCATGTTCATCCCTGCACAGTTACTCTTTTACAGCACCATCTCAGATTCCTGAAATGCTTACACACACACTCCCCTTCCCCTCATTTTTCCACTTGCTCTGCAGACATCAAGTTAGACTGTAGGGGCTTCTATACACAGAGAGCAAAATCCTGGCACACTGTGAACATTTTCAGTTTTTAAATTCCAAATTTTTCTGTAGTTGCTCCTCAACTATTTAAAAGTTTTGAAGTCTGTAAGATACTGTACCCCAAGGACTAGTTGGGGGAAAAAAAGATCTATAAAGGTGTTAATTTTGATAGCTTCCTTTACCTTGACTGCTCCGGTCATAGACAGATCCTGGAATAATAGCCTCACGCGCATCATACATGGCGGTAGTCATGAAACGGGCACCCTGGAAGCATTACAGGAATTAGACAAAGCCTTTGCATACAAAAACAACTTTGCACTGCAACTTCAGCATAAGTTATTTTGGGTAAAAATCCAGTAAAGCTCCACAGATCATGCATACTTTACAAGTGCTGAGGAAACTAACCAGTTCTAATACATGGAAAACATCCAACTATCATTTCAACTACATCATGACAACAAGAAACAGAAATAAGATTCTACAGGTAGCCTATCTCAAACTGTGAAACATTTGATCAATTTTCATTCTATTTTGAGGTTCTGATGATAGTTCTTCCCTTCCTACCACTGTCCTTCTGTGATGGCTGACAAGCTCCCCCCGCCAAATGACTACTTATGTTAAAGGACCAAGTATAAAACTTGCAGGCTGAGGATTAAAGCACAATGCTATTAAGTACACATGCTTAACGAGCTTGACATTTCTACACAAAACAGTTACTTTGTTTCATTCACCTCAGAAGTTACCCCCTCATAAAATTTTGCAGCAAAGAAAGAACAATTTAAAAAGCACCAAAAAGGCTTTTCTACAAGGGCTTAACTTAGAAACAGCTGAAGCAGCAACTTACACACTGCATTAACCAGGCTACAAAAATGGAAATTTATGGGTGTGAGAGGCTATGTGGTGACCAGTTATTCCATCCATTTATAATCAATCAATGAACCCCCAATTGCTTCATGTCACAAACATATCAGAGACAGGAGAGCTCAACTTACTGGGTTGATGGTATTGACAAGTTTCCGGGGCTTGCTGAACTGCATAAGGCTTTCCCGGAGGTTATTCAGTGGTCCCTCCACCAGAACCTTCTGCTCCTTGTAGTAATTCAGCAGGTGATTCCAAAGCGGTTGTTTAGACAGCGCTTTTGGGTTCCCAACAATAATTACTCCATACCTGCACAACAGCAGAGAAACTGAAATTCACTCTGACCAAAAATAAAGCGCTGTTAAATATTAATGTCAGAACAGCCTCAAAGTCCATCTCTTTTGCAGTAAATCAAGACACCTAACAGAAGCCCACAATGGTAGGTGTAGGAGACCATGACACAATTGTTTTGTTTACAGCAGACAATTTCTGCAGTATGACAAAAGACTGGAAAGGAGATTGCCACCACCAGTTTCTCAATCACAAGGTTCCTTCTGCAGGCTTGCCAAACACATCAGTGTACTCAACTAATCACCACGCTGGGTCGTTTTGAAAGCCTGCAGAAACCAAGGAAGCCAACCAACATAGTGTTGATTCCACAGTACTTTCTCAGTAATCAAAGGAGAAGCAAAATGGTAAAAAATGGTTGCTGTAAGGGAGAAAGAAGCAGATGAAGGGGAAGAGTTCTGTCCTGCAAACAAAGGGGAATGACACAGTGGCTTCTACAAACTACTGATGCCAAATGGTAACACTGATTAGGTTGAGATTGCTTCTGTAAACTGTAGGGAACATGGAAATCACTCAAGGCTTCCTTAAACCAGGTGGGGCGGGGAACGGGCCTGCTACCTGCAAAGCACAGACCTTTTGTTAGTCAGACTGTATCAATGCTTTAGCAAATTAGGTCTCTAGAATAGATAAAAATTTGCCTTTTTTACTTTACCTTGCTCTTGTAAGAGCTACATTAAGCCGCCTGGGGTCATTCAGAAACCCTATTCCTTGGTGTTCATTGGCCCTGACACAAGAAAGGATAATAAAGTCCTTCTCTCGTCCCTGGAAGGCATCCACACTTGCGATTTCCACTTCCTGAAATAGAGGAAAACATGTAAATCACTGAAGCACAGTGCAAAACAGTTATGCTACCAACAGGCATTACAAAATGCGTTGGCCATGCATTAGCAGTTCCCATCATTTGACAAAAATGTTATTTTTGTAATGACGAATGATTTGGTAATTCCACTGGTTACTAAATAGTTTCCCTAAAGGAGGACACACCGTCTCAGTTCAGGACAAATTACTTCTATGTTCACTGCTTTACGGTTCTCATATTTCCCCAAAACTGGCATTTGCACTATGGAACGCATCCCTTTTCTAGGTATGTTGCCAAAAAGACTTTTGACTATTCCAAAACTTCGTAGTAAGTCAGCTCCAAATTAGCACTGCTGCTCCCAGCTACCGAGAAACCTGAATCAGAGGGACAGATCATTCCTGGCAGAAGTAAAAGTATTCCACCAAGTTTTCCTTCAGTGAAAACACTGACCGAGTTCTCAATATCACAAACCAGACTATATTAAACATACAACCGTCTTGTTTGTAGCAACAAATTCTAGTGTTTGGTAGAGGAGTTCCACTGATGGGAGGACATGTCCCCAAGCAAATAAATAGTATGACCATCAGAATTTATGGAGCTTGGTTTCCTGCATGTCTCTTGGCATGATGCTTTTATCTAAGACACAAACTGACTGAAGCTTTTCCACAGCTGAGGCACTAATGACCCCTCCCTTCTGTGCCTCAACAAATCCTCAAAGGATGGACTCATTGAAGCCTTCCTTTCAACAGAAACCTTAACAAGGCTTTCTCCTTTATCTGGCCTGCTGCTCCCCTGACACTTACTGGCATTTAATACCTCCTAAATTCTTCTCCCTGGTCTATTTTAACCACAATCAACTAAAAAACTAAAAAATTACTAAAGAATAAACACAGACTGACGCCTAAGAAGCCAGACTAAAAATGAAAATATTGTGAAGTTTCACAATATCTGGCTTTTCTAGCTTCTCTGCCATCCAAGTGTTCTCATTTGTGCAATGACTCCGTACCTGGTAGAGCTTTGTATGCAAGGAACCACTGAACTGCATGTATTGCACCAGATAGGATCGTTGACCTTCGTAAGGAGTAATAATGCCAATCTGATCTGGTTTGGCACCAGCTTTCAACAGCTTTGTAGTTATTTTCTCCACATTGGCAGCTTCCGTCCTAGGAAGAGAGATTTGTTTGTCTAAGGAGAATCAAGGCATTGGGTCTAACTTTTTACAAGTTAATGGGTCTAAAAAAACCAACATCTGACACATATGCTGTGTTAGCCTTTTGTCAGAAAGGCTACTTCAAGAAAAAGATCAGTTTTACACTGCTTGAGCACTCCGATTAATTTGGCTTAAGTTTTGCAGGAACATTCAGCACTATCACCTCTTGACTTGGGCCACGCACAGATATTCTCAGCCAGAGGAATACAGGCAAAAAGCCAACATCTCCGAAAAGGTCTCAGAACGACACAGAAATTTCTCCTTATATATACCTCCACCTTCTCAGAACTATAGGACCAGACTTCCTGGAATAACAAAATTCATGGTGGCCATCATTCTGAAATGGAACTTCTTAGTAGAGTTAAATGTACATGTGTACTTTTATGAGCAAGATCATCAAAAATGTTCCAGCCTGCTGTGCAAACAGATCCTTCAGTTACTTTATCTTAAAGTTTTAAATATAGAATGTTTTTAATGCCAACCTCCCTGTCAGCCAACTATTGTGCCATTTGTTTGTGCACAATCTGGCTTGCTGCATTCAGCAGTCTTGCACATGGTGTTCACGAAACAGACTGAGATTAAAAATATCACAGCAGATATAAGTTGGTCTGGTTTCCCTTCCAGGCACATGAATAAATGCATACAACCAAGAGGAGCAGAGTGTTTTAAGCTCACTCTTTGAAAAACAAGTTGGAATGTGCAGAACAAAGGGATAGAAAAAAGAAAATTAAATTCCCATCTCTTTTCCACCCCTGCCAAAATCTAAGACAGGATTGCTTCAGGAGCTACTGGAATTCTGGCTTCAAAATGCAACCTGATCAGCATTTCCTGCTGCAACTGCAGTCAGTTTACTTGCTGGCCCAAATTCATCCCATGTATTAGGCACTTAATTGTCCCATGCTCCTTATACTACCAGTGAAGGAAAACATGCACCTCCACAGAACAATTCAAACCCACTTAAGATCTGAACTGCTCCCGCTGGAGATGCCTTTTTCTCTTCATTTACTGTAGGGAGCCTAGGGCAAATCAACTCCAAAATGAAGCTCAGCCTGCACTGTCCTTGATGGCAGCTTTTATTAAAAAAAAGCACATAAGCAATTTCAATCACAGCTGTTAACAGGAAACATTTCATTAATTTAGAAGAACTACTGCAGAACAAAAGAATCAATAGCACTGAAGTACTGTATCCCAGCACACACTACATTTGAGGTCTGTGGGTTGGCTCATCTGGAGGACAGATACCACCTTCATAAAAACAGAAAGCAACTCTTCTTCAAAAATTAGCTGTTATGCCTTTATTCACATAGCAAGGCACAAGTCACAGTGAATACAGAGTACTATAAATACTGTTGCAGAGATTCTGAAGGATAGAGAAATGCTTAGGTATTTGGTCTGCAGCAGGCACTGTATACTGAACTTTCCCTTGATGTTATTAATTGTGACTGTCTCCAAGGGATGTCACAGGATTATTAACAGATTCATTTAATAATCTCCCTTACATTTGAGATACACTGGGACGAAGTACTTTAAGTAAGTTCCTATCTCACTGTTGCATTTTGTTTACCTGTTTAAGTAAGACGTGCCTGAGCTGGCAATTTCTTCCTGTCCTTGTGTAACATAGAAAAACATCGGCTTATCTGGCTGTGGCCACTGGAAATCAAAACCTTTTTTCACACGGTCCGCTGAAGAGCACAGAAACAGTAAGTAAAAAAAGTTAGTGCTGCTTTACTAGCACAAACAACTCACTTTCATATCAAAGCACCTTAAAGACTCAAAACTGTAAGTGCAGCAGCAATTCTCTTTTTAAGTGAATGTATTAAAATACGCATCTAGATTAAAGAATCTTTCCTTTCATCTTTAAGGAAGGGAAAAGAAAGTAATTTGCAGGAGTACCATTCTTGCTCACCTGCAGTAACACCATTCTGGAGCGAACCCTCATAGAAGATATTGGATGGGAAAGCACTGAGCGCAGGATGCATGCGATACTGCACTTGCAGGCGAATTGGACGAATCCCGAGCACCACAAGCCTCTCGAAGAGAGACTGAGACAGGCCAGCCTTTGCGGCTTTCTTACACATCACAACAGGACCAAGCTGGCAGTGGTCACCCACAAGAATAAGCTGTGGAAAAGCAAGTTTGTAGCTATCAAAGTTCTTATTTTCTGAAACTTGCCCAATAGCTAGAAACAAGAGCAATATCCCACTATAAAATATATTAGGAACTCAGTCTGACTTGCAATAAGCTTCAGATACAGTCCAAGGCTTATAAATCTTTAGTGTCAACTAGCTTTTCAGCTGATCATTTTTTCCATAAAATCTTACTCAGGCTCTAGATTGTTCCAACAGCACCAACTGTCCTAGGCAAAGATTACGCCACAGAAAGAAGAAAACTAACAGGATTAACACAAAGTCAAGTCATTTAGATTTACATTATGGAAGTGTCTTCCATGAAAGGAAAGGATTTTGTATCCCTACGTGCCTACACTGTGAATGATACTGCTCAATGCTACTTCCTCTATTTACAAACTCTTTCTCGAATGAAAGTTTCTTTAACGAAATCCAATGGCTCCTACCTGTTTTGCTCCCAGGACGACAGGCACCATGCACTCTGGCTCAGTAGCCTGTGTGCTTTCATCAATCAGAATGGAGCGGAACTGCATTTTTGCAAGTCTTGGATCACCAGCTCCCACACACGTGCAACAGATCACATCTGCATTCTGAGACAAATGAAACAAAATTAATCAAGGAGGATATCAATAGACAATATTTCTACATGGAAGAAGTCACTGTTTAAGCCTGGCTGGCACTTAAAGCAGATGGCGGATGCTGTCTATTACCTCCCCCCCAGAAGGGGAAGGAGAGGAGAAAAGGGAGACAGACTTGTAGGTTGAAAAATTAAAACTACTTTAATAAAACAGTAACAATTAAAAAGAATATATAATATTAACACTAATACTACTCATAACAGAAATAAAAATATACAAAACCAA